GCCAGAAGTGGCGCTGTGGCTCAAGTGGTAGAGCGCTAGCCTTGAGCTGAAGAGCTGAGGGACAGCGCCCAGGCACAGAGGTCAAGCCTCACAACTAACCCCCCCCCAAAAAAATATGTAACCCAGAATATTCATAACCTCTACATAAATTGCAAAATAAATTTCTAATTTTAGTACTTGTGAATGATGAGTTGGTCTTTCCTTTATGGTAAAGAAATATATAGCTTCTGGAAGTAGGTAAAAGTTTGTTTTTCCTGTAGATTTATTTTTTTCCTTTTAGAAAAAAAACCTTCAGTTTTTATTTTATATTTTTGCATAAACATTTGGTGTTCTAATTTTTCCCCCATTATATTGGCTCCTTGATATTACTAAATCTCTGTCTCTATTTCTAGTAATTCTTCTTTGAGAGTGGGGGTTGAACATGGGGCTTGAACTTAGGACCTGGGCACTGTCCCTGAGCATTTTTGATCAAGGCTAGGGCTTTACCACTTTGAGCCACAGTTCCACCTCCAGTTTTCTGGTTTCTAATTGGAGATAAGAGTCTCATGGACTTTCCTGCCTAGGCTGACTTTGAATAGTGATCCTCAGATCTCAGCCTCTTGAGTAGCTCACTAGGATTACAAGCGTCAACTACCAGCACCCAGCTCATTCCAGAAATTCTTTTTTTGTTGTTGTTTTTGGTCAGTCACGGGGCTTGAACTCTGGGCCTGGGTGCTGTCCCTCAGCTCTTCAGCACAAGGCTAGTGCTCTACCACTTGAACCACAGTGCCACTTCCAGTTTTCTGGTGGTTAATTGGAGTTAAGAGTCTCACAGATGTTCCTGTCCTGGCTGACTTTGAAATGGCAATCCTCAGATCTCAGCCTCCTGAGTAGCTAGGATTACAGGCGTGAGCCACTGGCCCCCCACTCATTCTAGTAATTCTTTAAGGTACAATTTTGTTTAAAATTAATACAGAGATTCTTTGTTTGACATTTTTCATAGTCATTCTAATTTTAACCTTCTTATGATTTTATTTATAAAGTATGTCTCCTTTAAGTAGCCTGTTTAAAATCTTAAGTCTTACCAGGTGCCAGTGGCTCATACCATGGTCCTGGATATTCAGGAGGCTGATATCTGAGGATCATGGTTCAACACCAGCCTAGGCAGGAAAGTCTGTGAGACTCTTACTCCAATTAACCACCAAAAGCCAGAAGTGAAATTGTGTCTTAAGTGGTAAAGTTCCAGCCTTGAGCAAGAAAAGCTCGGGACCATTCCTAGGCCCTGAGTTTAAACCCCAGGACTGACACAAAAAAAGAAAAAAAAAATCAGTCTCAGTCATTTACTTGAACTACTTAGTTGATTTATATTTAAGGTAATTTTGGCTTAATTGGTTTTATATCTGTCATTTTATGTTTATATTTATTTTTTCTGTTTGTATGGGTTTTTTACTCACTTGCTTGTTGTTTTCTTGAGGCAGGGTCTCATTACAGAGGCTAGACTGGTTTTCAACTCATGACCTTCATACCTCAGATACTCCAGTGGCTGGAATCATTATTTCATAATTCTTCCATCTATTTCTTTCTATAAATATTTATTCTTCTCTTATTGGTTATTCTAGAGAAAAAATTGGCAAGTTGTTGCTTACAAACCAAATCTAGCTGGTTTTTATTTATTTTTGTGGTGGTAGTGCTGGGAATTGAATTTAGTCTCCATCTTGCTCAGCAGACACTACAACCATTTTTGTGTCAACTATTTTAGAGGTAGGGTCTTCCTTTGTACCCTGGCCTGCCTGGATTGTAATCCTCCTCCTTGTGCTTACCTGTGTTGCTATGGTTGACAGGCATGTACCACTATGCCACTCCATTTAGTGACATGGAGTCTCAAGAACTTAATGCCCTGCCTGGCTTTCCAGGAGCCCCAATCCCTGATCTTTGCCTACCAAGCAGCTAGGCTTGAACCCTCCTATTTCTATACATAAAGTTTTATTTTAACACAGTCAGATCTGTTTGTTTACAGAATATATATTATTGTCTACGTCTTACAGCATCATTTGAATTGTTAGATACTGTATATATATAATACATATATATTATGTACAGTGTTCATTTTGTGAAAACTTATTAATCTGCATACTTAATATATATACTCTAGTCTGCTTTGATAAAATGTTAAAAATTAATTTTCCAGTAGTTTGAGAATATGGAGAGTTAATTATATTTTTAATGGTAGAGACATTTACTCTTCAATTCTTGTGTGTATAGAAACAGGCCACTGTTTCCATGGGAACTTCTGGCTCCACTGTGTTTCATTGCCTGACTTTTTGTAGATTTTTGTGTCTACTATCTCTCTGAGCTGCATGTTTTTACATAATGGTCACAAAAAGTTTATTTGGAATTTTCTTACTGTTCTTAACAGAGCAATCAATGTAAGTCATGTATTTTATACACATTAATGTATCCAAATTGACATCTATTTGTGTTGCACTTTTTAAAAAAGACTTTTTCTTTTTTTTTAACCAAAAGATGTTATTTTCACAGAAGTGAAGAAAAACACTGGCTGAAATGGAATGCAGCTTTATATTATTGGAATGTTTAAAAAATTACTCCAAAAAATAAAGTAATCTTAAGGCTTAGAGAGTATTTTCTTTGGAATAGATTTAACAATTGTACTAATATTCCTTCAAATAGATAATTTCATTCTGGGTGATTGCTTGTTTGTGTAGGAAGGGAGAACAGACTAACAGGAGATTCTTGCATATTCATCTGAAGCCTGTGGTAAAGCTGCTTCTCAGCCTCACCCATCTTATTTGTCGTGGCTGGTTTGTTCAGGGTCCTAGAGTAAACCATTTTCTCAGAAGAGTAAACTGCATGTATCTTGTGATTTTTTTTTTTTCTTTTTTAGGAGAGGAGAAGGAGGTTGGGAGGTGTTACATTGTATATAAGGAGATTGTTAGCGATTATTAGAGTCTTGTAGTATATCATAGAAGCATTTTTAAGAATAAATTGTTCTGTTTCATTTCTATAAGCTAAGTAAGCAAGAAAACTGGGATTATAGAGTTAATTATGAGCAGTAATGAGCATGTTATATGCTATGCTTTAGTGATGCAATAATAAGCATCTTAGCAGAATTTTCTGTTTATGTAAATTTTTATGTGAATTAAGAAAAAAATTAAGATTTACAAATCTATAATATCAAGTGCCTTTAGATTTTTGATATAAAATAGATTGTAAGTGTAGAGGGATTTTTTTTAGAGCATAGAGAATTTTTACCTTTCATCTGGCAGTAGCTGCCATAAGATGATGTCATCTTGCAGCTGATTGGCTATTACAGCACCTAGGGCAGGGAAGAGAAAGAAAAATGCCGGCACAAACCTCAGTGGTGGTTCTGTGGTTGTTTCTATCTATTTTTGATAGAATCTTTGATTAGTATCAAATTTACTGTGTTTGGCCATGTGAACTATCAGAAGCATTGTAGGGTGAGGGAAATTAAGAGCTTTCAGAGGAATGAGGCGACTGATTTGCAAACGGATCTGTGATTGTAAGTTGCAGAATCTGGGTGTAAGGAATAAGGCAGGGCGTGCTGGAAGATGCACTATGGGAGGAGCTGGCAGAAAATCCTTAGATGAGTAGCAAAAAATGAAAGATGCTTTTTACTGATCTTAGAGCTAATTTGTTTGGTTTGATAATTTTGCTTAATATATATATATATATGTAGAAAGCATGATAGAATTGAATTTTTATTTTAAATTACAGTGAATTGTTTTATGTAGTTTTAGCCAGTGTATAAATGCTTATTCAAAAGACCTTTATTTTGTATTATATGTCTTACCAAAGTAATGATTTTATACATGGCTTTAGTTGATTTGGGGGTTGGTAAATACAGTAAAATTTAGCTTCCTTAAGTACATTTTTCTAATGCTTTGTGCAGATAAAAGCTTTGATGATGAGGAATCAGTGGATGGAAATAGGCCATCATCAGCTGCTTCAGCCTTCAAGGTTCCTGCACCTAAAACACCCGGAAATCCTGTCAACAGTGCAAGGAAGCCTGGTTCAGCAGGTGGCCCTAAGGTTGGAGGTAATGTAAATCCATTTCATATCTACTAGGCATATTCCATGCCCTTGGTATGGCACACATACATAGAACTTCAGAGAAACATGTTTATTCATGACTGCAGCATGATTGCAGGTCTGAAGAGACTGTTTAAAAATATGTGCTACTTTTAAAAAATGTTTAAAATACTGCATATTGATATGTCCTTCGAGATCATATGTGTTTACTGAAGGTAGTTATTTTTACAGTTTTAAAAGGAAAGATTCAAAGGAGTAGGGCTTATATTTAGAGAAGCATTTCAGAATTCAGCTCTTCACAGGTACTATAACTATTATAGCTATAAAATGCTGAATTATGAAATATATTTACAAATTCATCAAGGTGTAAGTCATCTATTCCAACATTTTAAAAATGGTTGAAGAAACTGGATACTGAGCCATTTGTCACAATAGGAAATGGGTGGTGGTCAAGTAAAATTGCCTGAAAAAATGGTTTCTGGATTAGATAATAATAAAAAGAAAAGTAAACAAAAAGCAGATTTTATGCAGTTATATTGCATGTAGTATATTTTTTGGACATAATAGAAGAGTTTTTTTCTAGTAGCTTGCTTACCTTAAATTATTTCATGTTATTTTTCATATGATGATTGTAAAGCCAGGTGTTAGTTTCTGCTTGATGTTTTTGATAGAAAGAATTTATAAAAGTAAGGGTACATATTTAATGCTAAAGGGATACTAATTATAAGGACCCTGTCATACATATTTAATTTTAACTTTCTTTAACTCTATGTATCATATAACTAGGAAGAAAAATATACACACAGAGAAATACTGTGAAATAAAAATGACTTGCCTATTTCACTGAGCATCTTAAGTTACTTACATTTAAATTTTTTGTTCTGAAATTAAAGGATTATGTTCTCATCCAAATGTTACATGATACTCTCTGTTGTAAATTCTTACTTGTAGTCAAGCTGTACGTGGCATTCTATGGTTTCTTCCATTTGTAACAAGTGGTTGTCTTCAATCATTGTTGGGGGACTTTTTCTTGATTTTTTTGGGGGGGAGGTCCAGTCATGGGGCCTGAACTCTGGGCCTGGGCGCTGTCCCTCAGCTCTTCAGCTCAAGGCTAGCGCTCTATCACTTGAGCCACAGCGCCACTTCCGGCTTTTTTTTTTTATGTGGTACTGGGGAATCGAACCCACCGCCTCATGCATGCAAGGCAAGTGCTCTACCTCTGAGCCACCTTCCCATCCCCTTTTTCTTGATTTTTTAAAAATTACATAAGTCTAGCCTGGCACTGGTGGCTCATACCTGTAATCCGAACTACTTAGGAGGCTCAGATCTGAGATCACAGTTCAAAGCCAGCCCTGGCAGGAAAGTATTGAGATTACCCACCCAAAAACTGGAATTGGAGCTGTGGTTCATGTAGTAGAGAACTAGCCTTGGGCAGAAAAGCTCAAGGACAGTGCCCAGGTCCTGAGTTTAAGCCCCATGACCACAATAACCCCCCAAAAAGGCTAACCTATGGCAGAATAATTTTACAAAATTCTTATTTCATTAACCTACTTAAAAGAGGTTAATATTTAAAATATGTGGTGATATTTAATATTTTTGTGATGTGAGCTAATGATTTATAATTAATTTTGCGTTTTAGATAAAAGTGAAGATAGTGATTTACCTACAAATTACTTAATTCTAATACAACTTAAATTATGATTTTTCTTTTGAAAATTAGAATAAATTTAAAATAAAATAACTTTTGAAAGAAACGAATTACTTAATGCCCTCTAGTCTGCAGTTGATACTTTATCTTACTAGATATGAAAATGTTAGGTAGTTGCAAATTAATCATACAGATTATATCATTCATTTAGCAGGGCTTTTTTGCTGTTTTTTTTGGGGGGGGGGGTCGTGTGTGCACATGCACGCCTGGTAGTCCTAGAGCCTGAACACAAGGCTTGATCACTGTTGTGAGATTTGCCGGGGGGAGAGAGGGGTTGACTCAAGGCTAGCTCTCTACCTCTTTAGCCACAACTGCACTTTCAGCTTTTTGGTGGGTAATTGGAGATAAGAGTCTCAAGAACTGGGGCTGTGAAGGTGGCTCAGTGGTAGAGTGCTTGCCTTGCATGCATGAAGCCCTGGGTTCGATTCTTCAGCACCACATAAGCAGAAAAGGCCAGGAGGGGGCTGAGGCTCAAGTGGTAGAACGCTAGCCTTTAAGAGCTGAGGGACAGCGCCCAGGCCCAGAGTTTAGGCCCCAAGACCGACCAAAAAAAAAAAAACTCAAGAATTTTCCCACCCTTGGCCGGGCACTGGTGGCTCACGCCTGTAATCCTAGCTACTCAGGAGGCTGAGATCTGAGGATCACGGGTCAAAGCCAGCCCGGGCAGGAGAGACTGTGAGACTCTTATCTCCAATAAACCACCAGAAAACCGGAAGTGGCGCTGTAGCTGAAGTGGTAGAGCGCTAGCCTTGAGCTGGAGAGCTTAGGGACAGTGCCCAGGCCCAGAGTTCAAGCCCCACGACCGACCAAAAACCAAAAAAAAAAAAAAAAAGAATTTTCCCACCCAATCTGGCTTTTAACTGTGATCCTCAGATCTGCGCTTCCTGAGTAACTAGGGTTACATAGGCAAGTTTTCTTTTGATAAAATAAAGAAATTCTTACTCCTTTCATTCGTCCTCCTTCTACTCTCTCTCCACTTCCTCCTCCCCCTCCCCCTCCTCTTCCCCTTTTTTTTCTTTGGCAACTGCAGATCATTCTTGTTTGTTTTATTTGCCATGGCTCCTTTAGGTTCATTGCCCATTTTTCTGTCTAAGAAAAAGAGCTACTAGCCAGAGGATATTGATGTTGTTCCTGAAATTAATATCATTCTTGGCTGTCAGTCAGTCTTTGAAAACTTAACTTTAGATGTCCTGGTCTTGGCAGAGACATGTTGATTTTTAAATTACTTGTAGGGGGCTGGGAATGTGGTTAGTGGTAGAGTGCTTGCTTAGCAGCCATGAAGCCCCAGTTCCATTCCTCAGTACCACATAAACAGAAGAAGCTGGAAGTGGCACTGTGGCCCAAGTGGTAGAGTGCTTGAGCCTTGAGCAAAAAAAACTTGGGACAGTGCCCAGGTCCTGAGTTCATGGCCGGACTGGAAAAGATAAATAAATAAATTACTTGTAGGAAGTTTATTTATTTATTAGAGTTGTAGAACCTTTGAATTAAGCCCTTTGGAATCGTAGGGTTCCTTCATCAAAATACCAGTAGATAATTTTCCATCATCCAATTAATGTGTCCCAGATTAAAATTTGGAACAAAACCACCTTCAGTCCTACTTCACATAGAGAGACTAAACTGATAAAGTTTACTTTCTTTTGACTACTTTTATAATTATTCTCCTAGTTATTTTTAAACATACACATTTCTTGTGAAAACAATGGAATTAGCACTCTTCATTATATCCTGTTGTATACCTTTATTTTCTACCTGATTGTTTTTCCCTAACCATTTTCTCTTTGCCTTAAATTATTAATGGAAACTAATTTTTTGCAAACCATGTAAGTGCCAGAGATGTATCTCCAGCTTAAGCTCTAACAACTACCTGAGATGACTAATATAAAGAGAAGTTTAACTGGAGGCTCAGGAGTGGAACCTACATTGCATGTGGAAGGCCTTGAGTTCAAGCCTCATATTGAAAGAAACACAAATATGTTTGTCTCACAGTTTTGAAGATTCCAAGTAACTTTTACTAAAGCTATGAAACAGCAGTAAATAAATACAGATGGGAGCCTTTGGGGGAAATATCATAAATTTTTTCTGATAACATGGAAAAGACTTGACTAAATGAAGACATCTACTATGTTCATGAATAGAGAAACCTCTAATACCTTAAAAATAACATTTTTTCCTAACTTGATTTTATACATGGTAATTCAATGATTAGTTAGTAGAAATTCCTGCTTTAAAGAATAAATATGGAGTCAAACTCAAGATTTTTTAAGAAAAAAAGAGGGAAACTTAGTCTATGTGATATTAAGATGATATAAATCTATAGTAATTATAATAATGAAATTTGTGTAAAATTTATATTTATATCAAGTTTATTTAGATAATTAAAATGGGTAACTATACAAAAAAGAAAAAAACAATTTTTGGTTAAATGTTGTCTAGATTATTTTTTGGTTTGCTGGCTTGTTTGTAGTGCTAGTGATTGCATCTAGGGACTTGCATGTGCTATACAAATGTTCTACCACTGAGCTACATGTCTAACTCTTGGTCTTTTGAGACAGCTTCCTGCTACAAAGCTCAGGCTGGCATTGAATTCTTGATATTTAGCCCATTGGCCTCAAACATAAGTTTTATCTGCTTCAGCCTCTCAAGTCATAGGATGATTTAAAGGCATGAACTGCCATGCTCAGTTACTTGGAATAAGTTTTTGAAGTTCACAGAATTAGAAGATATAGAGATTTTTTAAAGCTTTTTCCAGTTGGCAAAGTCAAAATAAGTCTTAATTTATTCTTTTTTAAAAAAAATTAAAAATTTAATTTTATTGTCAAGGTGATGTACAGAGGGGTTACACTTACATATGTAAGGTAGTGACTACATAACTTGTTGAGAACTTGTTACCCCCTCCCCCTCATTTTTCTCCCACTTTTCCTCCCCCCAGTTCCCTCCCCAAGTTGTACAGTTCATTTCAAACATATTGGCTTGTGAGTATCACTGTTGCATTAATTCGCCCTTTCTCCTTTGTCTCACCATTTTGTTGTTCTCCTTCCCTTCCCTAATTCAAATAAATGCATAGACAATACCAATGACAACAGGGGATAAATCATAGGGGAAAAAGAAAACCCAAAAAGAAATCACATTGTACATTAAAAACAACAACAAAGAAAAACCTCTTATTTCCATATCTTTGAGTGCATTTTGCTTTTTTGGTACTAGGATATTGTACTGGTTAGGCAAGCACTTTGTCACTCAGCAGCTATATACATCCCAGCCCCAATTCATTCTTTTTTTTAAAAAATTGTTATTGTAAA